CTCAAGATTGTTTGCTGCAAACACAACCTTGAGAAATAGTACAAGTGTGGTCAGCAGTCAGGGCCTCACATTCTTGGCATACTTACCAAAATGTATGGCCTCCCAACAGATGAATGTTAGCAGACAGTACAATTAAAGACAATGATATTTTCTCTTTCCTCTGAAATGTAAACCTAGAAAGATGTCATGTTTCACATTCCGCATCTATTTTATAATCATAAAGGAATAGCTAGTCTGAGAATGGAGTCAACATGGCAGAAGTCAGCAACTAAAAAATGGAGACAGAGAAAAAGATTCCAGTGAGTTATGGATCAAGTGTGCTCTGAAGCCAGATCTTCCCAAGACTTTTCACTTATGTAAGCTAGTTGAGTTCTGACTGATTTGGCATTTGATATGCGTTTTCTCATCACAATAGCCCTATAGAAGAGACGTCATTATCCTGACCTCATAGATGAGCCAAATGTGCATAATGAAGATTAACTGCCCAGTGTTACACAACAAATAAAGCAAAGCCACATCTGCTGATAGCAAACTTTATGCTCTTAACACTTAACACTTTAGTTCTCACTTTAGTACTTTAGAATCATTGAGATTCACTCCAGACCTAGTGAATCAAAATCTCTATAGTAAGGCATTTTTATAAGTTCTCGGGTAATTAGAATGCAGGGCTAATGGACCACCCACTAAGAAACATTTGCCTTAGAAGAAAATGTGATTTCAAAGGTACTGCCGCCTGATATTCTGATACTATGTCTTTACTAAAAAGTCTTGCTTCTGGTAGAATAACACTTGAAGCTTTGTCGGTTATGTAAACTATAAATCAAAGGAAAAAAAAAATTTTTTTGAGAAGAGTTTTATTGGGAGAAGCAGAAAAAGTGGGATTAGATGTCCCCCCTCCACCACCAAATCTCATTGAGATTTGATCTCCACTGACAGTGTTAAGAGGGTGGGAAATCCTATTATGGTAATCGAAAAGTGGGGCCTTGAAGAGATGATTGGATTGTGAGGGCTGTACCCTCATGAATGGATTCATCCATTCATGGAATAACAGTTGTGGTTCTAATGGCTTCAAAAAGAGAGCAAGTGAGGAGTTAGCTCTCTCTCTAACTCCGCCATCTGCCATGTGAGGCACTGCCTCACTGTCGCCACTAACAAGACCCCCACCAGATATGTTCCCTGGATTTTGGACTTCCCAGCCTCCAAAATTGTAAGCAATAAATACTGTTTCTTTACAAATTACCCACTTTCAGGTATTTTTGTTGTAAGCAACAGAAATGGACTAATACAGTCAGAAAACATGGGATCCTGAGCTGGGGGGTAAAGAGGAAAAGTGGTAGAAATGAGATTGTAAAAGGGAAAAAGGGAAAAAAAGACAGAGTCTTGAAGTTCTTTTCCACCATTCATTGCCTAAGAAGTTCCTTTTTGTTCAATTAATGTGTGTGTGTGTGTGTGCATGTGTGTGTGTGTGTGTGTATGTGTGTGCTAATTTCAGGTACTAGGATTTATATAGAGAGAGACTCGAAAGTCTTTTGAAAAAAGACATACAGACATCTGCTTGGTTTGCTAGTTAGTGGCTCATTGGACATAAAGGAAAATGTTTAATTTAATTATTGACTTTGAACAGACATTTTGCCACTGCTAATAATATTAGCTAGATTAATGAATTGTCAAGGGCTATAGAGATAGAGAGAACACAGTGAAAGCTATTGTTCATCAATATTTGGACACTCTTTCCCAGAATAGTCATGTAAGTCACATAAGCTATATAGTAAAATATCACTCTGCTTGCCTATCATGTCTTGGATTTTTTTCTCTCTTCTGTTTTTTTTTAATTTAAGTACAATATTAGCTGTCTAATAGGTATTACTCTTGAGAAAGTGAGAACTATTTCTGTACATAACATTCTACAGTGTCCTCCTGCACATAACATGTCTGCCTTCAAGTGAATCTAATACATACTCTTTCTTAAATTCTTAAAGCTGGGAGTACTTGAGGTCCTCATCTGTAACAGTTCCAGGCATATAGGCACTGAGCAGGGAGGTAGAGTTACACTTCACTGAAGAGGTAATATGTTAGCTGATACCATTTCCCACTTGTCATTTCCTTTTATACTTCTTGTCCACTCAAAATTAAAGACTTGAATCAAGCTGGCTTAAAGAGATATACATTTTTAAAGTATTAACTTCATTATTACCCCAAAGAGTTTTGATAGCATGGCTGTAGTCTCAGTTTTAAATGTGTGTAATGTTTCCAACTTTTGGCTAAAAAAAATTGAGTTTAATACATGTTTTGAAAATAGCTCAGTTTATTATCAAAGTGAAAATTTTACCAAAGGACTTTTATTTAAAATAATAGCTCCTTTTTTGATGACGTTCTTCTCTCTCCAACAGTTCGACAAGCAGGTATTTTGATATTTTAGTTTGAACTAGTTACTGCAGTTCACGGGCCTCCTCAACTTTGCCATCATTGCAGAAACACCTTCTATTTCTTTATAGCTGAAATCAGAAGCTGGTTGCATCTGACAATCACTAACACAGTCCTCTTACAAGTGTGTTCACTATGATACTCTGTCTCCAGATTTTTAACAAAATAATAAATGATCACTTATAGCATTGTATCTGTACCTGCCTTCCTCTAGGGAAACCATGTTACAATATTGAACCTGTCTGCCTTCTTTTAAAGCCAACCAATTGAAATTTATTGAATGAAAAGCAAGATATCCATCTGAGTAGGCGGAAGAGGTTCTCCTTAGCTTGAAAATGTATGGTGCAACAAGAGAGCAGCATAGGCTTTGTAATACTGTATTTTGTAAGCACTCACCACGGTAACAGTTTTGTGAACATCTGTCAATCGTTTCAGTTGAGTACCTAACCTCTCTGATGTGGTACAGTGGGATAAAAAGGGAATGAGTAAGATTTTCAGAACATAACTTTATCAGTGTTTTTTAGAAGATTGATATAAATATGACATCTCTACTATTTATTTAAAATCAGTTGGAAATATGCTACAACTTTTTAAAGGATATCTTCCATACTATTCTCCATGAGAGCTTCTTGCCCCCTCCCCGCCTTTTTTAATGCCAAACTATGCATTCAACATTTGGTCAAGATTGAAATGAATGAGGCATCAGTTTTCAAATATGATCCTTTTCTGTGGGTACTGCGTGAGAAGGTGGCCTGGGAAATACTATTGTGGGAACTCAGAGGTCACTTGTAAGAGAGATGATAGTTCACAGACACTAAACTGCTACATTTTAACTTTCTCTATAAATCATGTTTCATTTCAGTCTCTCCCAGCACACCCTCTCCACCCCACCCATGAGGTATAGGAGAGGGCTTGTCTTCAACTTCTAGGTAATGCAAAAATGCTTGGAAATCAGACATGTGTATGTTTGGGGGAAGGGCAGGGGGATTTGACAAATACTTTTTTCCTGCTCCAGCACATCAGGGCTAAGACTGAAGAGTTCAACTACCATGTTTTTTCCTCTAGTGTAAAGGTGATGTGGGGAATGCGGGATGTTTTAATAAGTGAGGCTAACAAAGGTAAACAGGGATGCAAAAGACCTGAGACAGCCACAGAAAAAGAGGGAGGTGTGGTCAGAGCAGATCTTGAGAGAAGCCAGTCTAGAGCCACGCTAGGTCCCCTTTAGTCACAGAGGCAAGAGTTTCACCATGGGCTGCTGTGGCAGGATGAGGTCACTCTTCAGCAGAGGCTGGGATAGACCACCAGGCTGGTGGGCTGTAGGAGGACAGTAGAAGACTTTGAGAGGGTTGTAGCTCATGGGAGCTGAGGTGTGGCCCTCACTAAGCCATCAGGTCAGGTCTCAAGCTTTGCAGCTGCAGATTTCAACAAACTGCAGCCAGGAAGCAGCCAGGCAGACAATCAACCTGGCTCCAGAAAGCAAAAGGCAAAGAGGATACCCTTCTGAAGGACCCTACTTCATCCCCTCCTCCACTAGGAGGCATAAAGCCTCCTCTTCACATTCACTCTAGAGGCATTTTAGGTATGGCAAAGAAGAGGAGGCCATCAGGGACACTGTCTAAACTTATTTAAATAAAATTTCTAATTTTTTTAAAATGGCTATTCGAATTATCAGCTAAACTGGATGTTTGAATATTTATTTAATTTTTCTTCCCAGCTAACCAGTTGGAAGGGGCTTAGGAAAATGTTCAGATTAGTTAAAACCAAATATCAAAATGTGTTTTCTTTGCACATCTAAGTTATCACCTTGCTACAGCTTTTAAAAATAATAAAAAAGACAAAAGTCCAGCTATCCTTAATCATATTGAGATAATGTGTAGATTTATATAAAACCCACAGTCACAGCACACTTGAAAGTCCCTACTCCCAACTCCAGTTCTAAAATCAATGCTATTGCCTGCTTTCCTCTTATCTTGCTGTGAAAATAAAACAGATCTAAAAAATAAAGTCTGTTAGAAAAGAAATTCTCCTCTAGTGCCTTCTTAAATTCTTCCAGGGCTAGAAATGGACATCTTTGAACAAGGTATAAGTTATGTCCTTTTCTTATGGTAAAATCTGATTTTTCTATTTATTTTACCCACTGTCCTCTGGAACAACTTTAGGAGATATTTTTTTCCCTCCCTTTATCTATCTTCAGGATGTAAATCAGCAATTAGTTCCCACAACAAAGTCTGAGGTCATAAATGAGGGCAGGCAGTAATTTAATCTGTGAGAGATTAAGATATCATCTAGTTAGTTTGGTGACAACACAGTACAACCCAGTGCATTGCTTTCCATTCATGTGACTCAATTTTCTTTCTTCTGTCTCTCGCTGTCTGAACTAACAGGCTTTTCTTTTTTTAAAAATAATTCAAAGTATAACCACAATCTTGGTAAAATTTCCAAAGGCAATCCGAAATCTTTCTTCTTAAAATATAAGTGAAATAAAAAGCAACCATGCCAGTGTGTGTGAGTGTGTGTGTGTGTGTTTTCAAGTGATCCATTGAAACAGTAAAATTCAGATGGCAAATTCAGACAACTTGCAACAGCATAATACATGTGTTTATTTAGTTAATATTACAACAGTAACAGATTAAGAACACTAGATTTGTATCCTCTTAGGGATGATCAAGATTTTGATTTGGAAATTTCACTGTTCTTAACCATTAAAAATCTATTTTCCAGAGGAGTAATAATAAATATTATTATTAAGGGACAGATCTAAACTTTATGATTTATGGCCAAAAGCTTATTTGTTCATTAGTTTAAACAAAACATTAGGGACATTTTAACCCTTGGTTACTGCTTTCAGGAAAGCACAAATTTCTTGAAGCAAATATACACAAAACACCTTTTCAATAGCGATTTCAAACATTGTCAATGAGAGAACCTGAGAACCCCAGATTTACTATCTCCAGATCATTGTAATACACTCTGGCTTACTTAAGCAATCAACCAATAAACATGTATTCAGTGCCTACTATGTATAACCAGCATACTAAAGCAATACAAGAAATACAAAGTGAAAGTATTGGTCCTCGCCCTGCTCAGGCTTCCATGTAGTTGGTAAGATTAAACACAGACACAAATTATTCCACTTCAGTATCCTCAAAAGAAGTGATGTTAACTGGATTGTACATAAGAATCACCTCTGCTCGAACCTAGAGGAAGCAGGGACATCCCCAGCAGTGATTAAAGTCTCTGTCTGAATTAGATTTCCCAGCTTCAGGTTTGACTGCTGTTTGAACTCCCCAAACTGAATGTTCCAGCCAGATTCACACCTGTTATTGTTAGTGGCTGTACTTGGAATTGTTCCATGGACATATGACAATGGAGAAAGATAAACAAATATATATATATATACACACATAAAATATTTGCACATGATATATATATATCAAATCATATATAAGGTGATGTTTCCCCTGTATATGTGTTCTGAAAAGCCAGGACTTCAGGAGTTTCCACTCTGCACGGAGAGGGGCCTAACCACATTACCATTTATTAATTATTATTATTATAGGACAAATAAGAGACTAGAATAAGAAAAGTATGAAAAATCTCCAAACTTCACTGGACACAAGCAAAAATAGAAAGTCTAGAGGAAAGGATAAGAAAAGAGGGCCCAGCAAAGAGAGGTTTTGGGTAAAGATGGAACTTTCCCGCACTCCCACTTCCACTCCCACCCCCCAGGGTCCTGAAGAAAAGACCAGGGACTAGGCAAGTAGAGAAAAGAAGAGACACATTTCCCAACACTACAAATAAATAAATAAATAAATACGTTAAACAAGAAAATAACTTATTAGGCACCGCTTGAAAGGCAGCAACCCTCGGGGGCCAGGCAGGCCCCTCTCCGGAGCCTGCAGACTGTGGTCACACGGCTAGTGTTGGCCAAGCCCCTGAAGGTGTCACCCTAGGTCCGGCCCCGGTACAGGAGCAGGAAACTGAGTCTGTTGTTACTCATAGGTCTGCTCCTTCACAAAGCTCCGGTGAAAAAGAAAGCCACCCGGAGCTGCAGCCGCGCATCCAGGCGGCCCCCGGGGAAAGCGTGCCCTGCCCTGCCCGACCCCGCCCGATGCAGACGTGCGGCCCCGGGAGCGCCCAGCGCTCAGTCTTTGAAACCGAGAGCCCCCTTTCTGAGCCCGGCGGGAGAGTGGCTTCTATTAACCGCCCCCCACTCCCCGTCCCCCTCCAAGCATCGAAACCTTCTAAAAACTCCTCGTTCGACTTGTTCTCAGCTCCTTTTAGCTCCAAAGGAGGGCTTGGATGGGGACTGCAGAAAGGTCGGCATTGGAAGCGCGGGACCTAGTTCTCTAAGCACCTGGCTCCGCTAAGGGTGGAATGGGGGTGGCGCAGAGGCGGGGGAAGGACGCACATTCACCCTGGAGTGGGAGGAAAGCCCAGCAGCTGCCTGGTTCACGCTCAAGTCTGACTTCGCGTCAAGTAGGGCTGCGCAAGGCGAGAGCGGTCGTTCCCGGGACTCCGCTAGGGGCAGCAGGCAGAACCCGGCCGGCGGACGAGCGCGGCAGGGCGGGGCGGAGGGCGAGCTGGGGACTCACCGTGAGGGAAGCCCGTGGCGGTAAGCGGAGCTCAGCTTAAACAAGCAGAAATACCAGCCGGAAGGACCGACTGCGGATCAGACTGAGTTGGGATGTTAATGAGTTCGTCATCTGTACCGCGGGACGGTGCGGGAGGAAGGATCAGAGTTGCAGGAAGGGGAGGATAGAAGGGTCAGAGGAACAAGACCAGTGGAGGAAGGAGCCGAAAGTGGGGGGCGGAAAAGGTGACCCTAAAGCCTTCCCAGTTTATAAGCAAAGCTGTCAATTCGACCTTTGTCGCGTGTCCGAGGCGCGCGGTGACCTAGCCCCATAGCACTCCCACGCACCCTGGCGCTCCGGATACCGTTTTCTCTCGCACCCCGCCTCCCCTTCTCCTCGTCCTCCCTCTCCCCTGGCGCAGGGCCCCTGCGTGGCCCGGGCTCAGAGCGTCGTGATCCGGGACGTGCACGTTCCATTCCGGAAGACGCCGCCGGACTCCAGGTTCTCGGGCTGGAAGTCTTCCACGCTGTAGGCGCGGCTCTTGAGGGCAGTGGCGTAGTAATCGACTGGCTCCTCCGCGGCGTTGTCCATCCAGCTGAGGCACAAGATGCGCTGGAAAGAGCGCTTGAAGTTGTCCGAGAGGAAGCCGTAGAGGATGGGGTTGGCGCAGCTGTTGGCATAGCCCAGGATGACCGACAGCTGGCTCACCGTGGCGTCGTCCTGCTCGGCGAACACGTTGACCAGCTGCACCACGTAGAAAGGCATCCAGCAGATGACAAACACCATCACCACCATCATCACCATTAGAGTGATCTTGCGCTCTGAGCGCTTGCGCTGCTGCCAGCCGGCCTTGAGGGCCACCATGCGCATCTTGGCGATGATGAGCACGTAGCACAGGCAGATGGCCCCGACGGGCAGCAGGAAGCCCATGAGAAATGTGTACAACACGAAGCCCACCAGCCAGCGTTGGGCGGGCTCGGGCATGAGCATGTTGCAGGCCACCGTGCCGTCGCTGTTGGCGGCAGTGCGCGAGAAGACCACGATGGGCAGGATGACGAGCAGCGACAGCACCCACACGCCCAGGTTCACCACCTTGGCCACGGTGGGCCGGCGGTAGCGGGCCGCCTTGATGGGGTGCACCACGGCCACGTAGCGGTCGACGCTGAGCACAGTCAGACAGTAGATGCTGGTAAACATGTTGACCGCGTCCACGCTGAGCACGAGGCGGCAGAGCAGCGCGCCGAAGGGCCAGTGGCGCAAGAGCGTGGAGGTGACCAGGAAGGGCACGCTGAGCATGAGCAGCTCATCGGCAATGGCCAGGTTCAGAATGTAGATGTTGGTGGCCGTCTTCATCTTGGCGTAGCGCAGAATCACGTAGATGACCATGGAGTTCCCACACAGCCCCACCAGGCACACCACGGAGTAGATGAACGAGATGAGGATGGCGCTGCCCTGGCCCTCACTCAAGGTCCCGTTCTGGGACGTGTTTCGCCCCGGCTCTTCCATGCCGTCCGCAGCGCCGGCCCCGGAGCCCCTGCTGCCGCCGCCTTCGCCACAGCTGCCCGGGCTGGGGCTAGGAGAGGAGGAAGGAGAGGAGGCGGTGCCATTGGGGAACATCCTAGGTGAGGGCGCCGGTGGGCTGTCCGGGCCGGGGCGCTCTCCTCGCGCCCCCGCCGCCTGCGCCCTCCCTCGGCACCCGACCCTCGCCCGCAGCTCACAGCCGCCCGGCAGCTCCGGGTAGAGCACAGCGGCTTCCGGGAGCGCGGCTCCTGCCGGCGCCGGCGGGGCGCATCGCCCAGCGGCTGCCTGCGCGCTACCGCTTGCCGCTCCGGGGCGCCGGGACACAAGCGAGCGTGGAGAGGGGAAGCCGGGAGGCTGGAACCCCGCGCGGCACAGCCATTAACTGGCGCGGCTCTGGGCTGGTGAATGATTAATAGGCACCACCAACGCGTCAGCAGCTACGAAGAAAAGCGGGGAGAGAAAGGGAGGGAGCAGGGCACATAGGTGGCTCGTCTCCCTCCCCCAATATTTTTCCTTCCCAGTCTTCCTAGGCTCCACTCGAGCGGCTGCTTTCGGGGTTCCCTCGCAGCACCCTTTACCCATCCCTCAGAAACACCGGGGGAGTTCTTCCGCCTTCCTGGAGGGTGGGTGGGAACCAAGGGTGCAGATTCTGCCCCATCCCACCCCGCTCCTACCCAGAGACTGAGGCAGACCCCAAACGTGGATGTCTGGAGTTCATCTCAGTTTCCCTCAGCTGCTGCCCCCTCCTGGGCGGACCCCAGCTCCCCCCTTGTTCCGCCGTCCCGGCCCCTAACACCGCTGGCCCCGCTGCCCTGCGCGGCAGACCCCCTGCGGAAGCTCTCGGCCCTCCTTACCCAGAGCGCGTTACCGCCAGACCCACGCGCAGATGGCCCGTGCAAAGTGCAGGTGAGGTCTGGGAGCGCGTTGACGTTCTTCGCGCCGTCCCACTCCCTTCTCTGGGCCCGGCCCCAGCACAGGTGCCCACGCAATTACTCTGACAGCGGCAGAAACTGACCCTAATCCGCGAGCGTTAGGTGGAGGAAGGATGACAACCGTGCGTTAGGGGCTTCTGCGTTATAACACCGCAGGCAGCTCTTCGCAGGCAGGACTGTTGGAGGGCCTGAGTAAACCACTGCGAATCTCTCATAAAGCTTGTGGTGCCCAGAGCCCTCTGCGTCTCCCACAGGAATATCGACTGCAGAAACCAGGACGCGCGGCTGGGAGCTCGGGAGGAGACTGAGGCTCCCTTCAGAACGTGCCAGGCGCGGTATTGGAAATCCATCTAGGTGTTCACTAGGGAAAGATAAGGCTGAGCCGCTGCCACGGCTCCGCCCGCGTCCCTACTGGACTTTGTACCCTGGAGGGTTGGCGGGCCCCGGGGGAGGAGAGCGTAAAGACCCGGTCGAGGGGGGACGCCAGCTCCTCCACACCCACGCGGGGCTGGCCGTACAGATGACCAGACCTGTCACGCACCCCGGGAACGGCAGGACGACACTCGGGTTTTTCCGTGAAGTACTAGGATGCCAGCCTTTTCTGAAGCCCCTTGACATGTGAACTGGCTCTAGTTCACGTGCCTGAACGATTAAGACACAGACTTCGATGTAGACACGCCCAAAGCTCGCTGAATTCATTTAGGAATGGAATGGTTTCCGTGTGAGAATGAATGGGCGTTCAATTCCCAGGATTTTAAAAGACCTCTGGGACTTCCCACTATCTCTAGCCTGGGCTCTCTTTGGCTTTCCAACTGTCTCTGTCGATGGAAGAATCATACTCCGTCTAACTCCTTTATTCCTTTTCATACAAGCTGCTCCGCCCCACAGGATCCCTGCAAGTCTACCTGAAACATGCTGGTTCCCAGAAGACAGACCTGCAGCAGCCTAGTGCTCAGCCTCTTTCGAGCTTTGCTCTCTCTAGTTCTCTTTAGTTCCTCCTTGTCAATCAGGCGGCACCCACCGTGCTGTCTCAGTTTTTCCTCCCCTCTGTACAGTTTACACTAAGGAAAGGCAAATTTAAAGCAGGAACTAAACTCCCCATGGAAGCTATTCGTACCAGGCAGTCCAGAATGTAGAAAAGGATGCAGAAATCGAAAACAAAACAAAAAAGGATAATTCCTAGTGCCCTTGCTTTATCCAGATAATCATTTACATATATTGTGTTTTAGTTCTAAAAACTAAGAGCTCTTGAAAGGGAAAGGATAACTTCTGTAGTGTGCCGATGATAGCAATCAGAGATTAAAATAAATGGCAACAGACTTTCATAGGTATGTGTGCAATGGACACTGAATTATTAATGAGAAATGTGCTAGAATGGATTTGAAGTTTCATAAGGCCCAGGCTGTTTAACCCATTGCTTTATCTAAGGTAAAATGTGAAATCAATGTTTAGTTATGTTTCTTTTTCCTGTAAAACTACAGCACATATATGGGGGCGGGGGGATGAATGTTCATCAGGTTGAAAAATTGAGTGAGTTTTGTCCCAGGAGAGTATTTTACTAGCCAGACTTCATAATGGTTTAGATGCCTCTGCCAATCACTAAAGGCACCTGGCTGTACCTCTGGGGGCTGGCATTTCAACAGTCATTATTTACATGCCTTGGCTTAGATCATGGTTGCTTCAGGGAGAGTGGGTGATGGGAGTTCATAAGAGACAGCTGTGTTGTTTAGAATTTCATTAAATTCATTTTGCAGCTCATCTTAGGGAAAACTCCTTTCAAGGCCTCATATACAAAAGGAGAGAACTTAAGTAAGACCTGACATAAGCATGCTTTTCTTTTCTTTTTGCTTCTGAAGTGGTTTCTATGGTGGATTATTTACCCATAAAAAGAGATTGACAATGAGATACCACTTTACAGCCACTAGGATGGCTGTAATAATTTTTTAAAAAAGAAAACAGAAAATTGAGAAGGATGTGGAGAAATTGGAACACTCATACATTGCTGGTGGGAATAAAAAAATGATTTAGTGACTTTAGAAAAAAGTTTGGCAATTCCTCAAAAAGTTTAAAATAGTATTACCATATGACCCAGCAATTCCACTTTTAATATCCCTCAAACTTGAAAATGGGTGTTCAAACAAAATCTTGTACATGAATGTTCATGGCAGCACTGTTCATAATAGCCAACCCAAATATCTATCAATTGATGTGGAAACAACCCAAATATCTATCAATTGATGAATTAACAAACAAAATGTGGTATATCCATGCAATGGAATATTATTCAACCATAAAAAAGAATGAAATACTAATACGTGCTACAACATAGATGAACCTCAAAAACATTATGCAAGGTAAAATAAGACAGACACAAAATTGCGTGATTCCTATTATATGATATGTCCAGGGTAGGCAAATACATAGAGACAGAATGCAGATTAGTCATTGCCAAGGGCTGGAGGAGGAGGAGAATGGGCAAGGACTGCTTAATTGGTATGAAGTTTCTTTTTTGGGTGATGAAAATGTTCTGGAATTAGCAGTGATGGTCACACAATACTGTGAGTGTATTAAAAACTACTCCATGGTAGTAGACTGCCATTTAATCACTTTAGAAATGGTTAAAATTATGAATTTTCTATTATGTGAATTTTATTTCAATAAAAAAAGAAAAGGAGAGAGATTGAGATAGATCTAAGACATGCAGCATTATCAAATATCATCAGTCATGCATGTGGACTGGGGTTGCAACTGTTTTAAAATTATATTAAGAGTGACTTCCAGTCAGGATGGTGGAATACTCAGTCCCCATCATCACTCTCTCCCACAAATCAATTTACAATTATAAAAAAGCAATGACAGCCAAGCTGGGGCCGCTAGAGCTCAGGGGAAGGGGAGGAGAAACCTACTGAGGGCATGAAGGAAGAAGAAGCCACGATGAGAGAAAGAAAAATCCACTCTGACCATTTCAAGCCTCAGCCTCTTCCAGGCTGGAGCTGCTGAGTGCACGGAGCAGGAGCTAGCCAAAGCTGCTGCTGTGGCCTTCAGATGACATTGCTTGGAGGTGGCAGGGGAGAAGAGAGCCTTAGTGGCCCCCAGGCCAGCAAGACCAATAATAGTATTCCCATGGACCCACATAAGAGCAAGAAGCCACAACAACAGGAAAAACGGAGCCACTCAGAGGCAGGTGAGTCATCGCAAGGGACCAACGCATGGCCCATCCCATGGGAAGTGTTTGGAGCATGGGCAGTGGGGGAGATGGGCCCAGTGGGAGAACACTGTGGCACAGCAAGAACAGCTGATCTGTACCCCAATTAGTGTAAGACCTTTCAGAAGAGACTGATCAGGAATATAGAATTGCATGAAGTGCAGTTTGATGAAAAGACTCAGGCCCAGACCAGAGTTTCTACACAACCCAGGTGCACTGCATCTCTCTAGACCCAGAAGTACCTACAAAGTCAACCATTAAAACCTGAGCTGCACAAAAAGACTTCCCTAGGGAATCAGCAGCAAAGCAGCAATTTAGCTCACCCACACAGCTCAAGTACTGGTCCCTACAGGAAGTTCCCCCATTTTAGAAGTAAGCAAAGAACAACAAACTAGTTCTAGCACAGAGTTTAAGTGGTGGGAACAGCAAATAATCCAACACAGAACTGAAAGAAAAAGAAAAGGACCCACAACCGGAGACAAAGTTTGATATTAACTAGTAAAGGTCTCATTTCACCAAAGAACAGCTATAACGCCTAGAAGGACTGGGAGTCCCCCGGTCTACCAAGCTAGAAAGTGAGGAGGTCTGGGGGCCTCAGCAATGCCCCCCAACACCTGCAACCAGTCCTGAGGGTAGCAGACGAGGGCCCCAGCCACATCTCCCAACACATGCAACCACCCCAGAGAAGACCACTGAGCCACCACAGGAAGTGCCCCAGGCTCTCCCAAGCCAGGTCAGTGGGCAACCTCAGGCCTCAGCCATGCCCCCATGACACATGCAGCCAGCCCAACAAGGACCACTGAGCCAACTCAGGAACTATCCCAGTCTCCCTTGTGGGAATGTGGGGGGCACCACAGGCCTCAATTCCACTCCTCCACCTTCCTCCTCCTTCCATCACATTTCCTTCCCCTTCCCCCTCTCCCCCTCCCTCCCAACTGCTCCACAACAACATCCTAGAATGTAAAAAAAAATATTAATTAAATTACAGTTTCTTTAAAATAAATAAATAAATAAATAAATAAATAAAATTATATTGAGAGCAAGAGCCCAGTTAGTAATCTGCCTTCCCCTGACACCTGAATTTAATATAATGTAAGTATTTTCTAAAGAGACAAGAAAACTGTTAAAGGCATTGGACTGTTATAATGCACAAAGACCCCAGCCTGTGAGAAGGCAGGACTTGACAATCTTCCCGTCTGGTTAAAAGCTTTTCTTTTTTTTAAATACACTTGTCTGAAGTCTTGGAAAGCACCTTAGGAAGAGTTTGTTTACTCCATACAAATTACCTATCCTACAGC